ATAATTTAAAGATTTAAGGAGTAAAAATGTTTGAAATGCCAAAGTGAAGAAAGGAAATAAAAGGAAAATGAATTTTATGTCAAGAAACAGGGAATATGCCTTTAAAATTCTTTAAGTTGATTCCTATCTTTCAAGAAGACAAAAACTGAAACATTCATCAATTGACTGATATATTTGGATAGCACAGTAAATTTGAAAACTGCCAAATTTTATTTTGCTTTAAAAGTCAATAAATATTTAGTGGCTGTAAGTTTTAAAAAATGTTAAAGTTAGATTTCTCTTATAATTTTTAGAATGAAATATAATTAATTGCTAAAACAAATATATTTATTTAATAGTGTGCATGAGGGGGCTTCACAAAGTTGGTGGACAATGGAATTTAAATTTTGCTAAAAAATAAGTATGTAACCATTGATATACTATAATGCTCTATTACAAAGGAAAACCCACCATAGCCTTACCTAAATAATCAAATTATTATTTTTGTCTAGTACACATTTCCTATATAAATTAAACCTGTTTGCCCAACTACTGTGTTGTATATCTGAATGTTTGGATGATATATGAAATAAATCTGTTGGAAAACTGGACAAGTACTAGAAATTCTATAGATAATTCTTATACTATGTCCCTATAGAATCATAATATACGATTATATGGGAATAGCTCTTTTAGAAATCTAATGCATATTTTGATTGTATCATCTGGTGTTATGTTTATGCATGAGAATATCACAAATTGGTTTGTCCTATATAAATATATAGATATCTATACAAATATGTACTATTGTAGAACTAGCATAAAATGCATTCTTTGACTTCCCAAATTTTCTATTCATAGTAAAACATACTTACTTGAGAAGAATGAATAAACATCATACGTAGTTTATATGCTATATTTCTTATTTAGTCAACAATTAACTATTTTCACACTTTCAAAAATCATTCTGTGTATAGTCAGTATACATATTTATGATATTATTGATCACATATTTAATCCCTGGAATAATATGTGCTAAAAATTCAGTATTTATTGAATGATGTTGGAAAATTTATTGATTAATAAAACAGCTAGTTTGTCTTGACAAATTATAAATTTTAATATCTACATTAAATGATCCATACATGTTACATTAAAATAAGAAACAATATGCTGTTTGAAACCATGCAGGAAACACACTGATAAAATAGATGGAAAAAGCAGTATTAAAACACTAGTAGCGCAATCTCATTTAGAATTATACATTTTCACAAGGAGATAAGCATGTGCCAAATCAAATCAGTCATAAATATCTAACCAAATTTGGAGTACACGTTCAAATAAATAAAGAGAAAATTTATTATCAAAAACAGAATCAAATAAGCCAAATAACTGAGATTTTATTGGCCAGTGTAATAATGCCATGATGTATTTAATTGTATAATATAACAACCACTGAAAATAAAACTAACAATTTCCCATAGACAGAATGACATTTGTTTATTAAACATAGTCCTCTAAGACAAAGTATTGTAACTTTTTATCTAGGACAAGACATAATTCTTTATGAGAATTTTTTGCTTTTGCATGAAATATTACATTAAAAAGCATATTTTATTATTCTTTTATGTGAAATTATGCTCTGTGCCTTATTATGTCTCATTAAGTAGCTATTATTGGGGTTTTTATTTTTAATCTTTGGGCTATAAAATAGGGACAAAGATATTTCAGACATTTCATAGGAAATGTCTTAATTGAAGGTGATCAAAGAGTATTGAACCTATGCAACAAATGTAAGTAACCACATTCACTGTTGTAATGGTTGTTAACTTTACATGTCAACTTGGCTAGGTCATGGTGTCCAGGTGGTAGGTCACATTCAATCTAGATATTTCTTTGAATTTATTTAAATGAGATTAATATTTAGACCAGTAGACAGAGTAAATATGATTCTCTGTACTGGAATTTATCCTATCAGTGGAAGGCTTGATCTCCAAAGACTGAGGGCATCAAAGACAGCATTCTCATCACAATTATGACCTACGAAGACTTTCTACTGCTATCTTGCTATACTAATGGTCCTAATCCTTGTGAATTCAGACATAAAACTAAAATACTACCTTGATCCAAATTTCCTTCTACAAGATTGACCTCCCATTTTGGACTCACTAGCCTCCACCATATATCATATGGTACAAAAACTGAAAATTATATTTATATATGTATATGTTCATGTAAATATGACAGGTAGATAAGTGGTATGTAGTTGATGATATATCAGTAGAGAGATGATTGATGTGGATATAGATATGAATGCATATATCTTATCTTATTGGTTATTTATTTAAGGAATCTTATAAGACAAAATTTCATATAATGATTCACAAAGATCTAAGAAGTAATAAGAGAGGAAGGAGGAGGAAGCATGGGCAAGAGGGAGGGTAGGATGGGAAGGATCACTATGTTCCTAAATCTGTATATGTGAATTATATGAAATATGTTTAACTTAGATAAAAAAATTAAAATACCAAAGATCTAAATAGTGATTTTTGTGTATGTACTCAAAAAATGAGAGTACCTCAAAAAGTTATTGTAACGTAGAATTAAAGTTTATTTGGCCATGAAATATTTTGAGGTCATGAATAGTTGAGGTCCTCCAAAAGTTCATGAAAATGTGTGTTATGAACAAACCACCCCACAGATATCAAATTACACTGAATGAAACAAGCCACTCACAAGAAGCCAAATATCATGTTTTCCCTGATCTGTTGTAATTAATTAATACAAAAAAGTAATATTTGTAAACAAATTTGACATTTTGATAATTGATCTGTTTTTACAACCCTTGTCTACTGTTGAGAAGCAGTTTTTTTTTTTCTTCTTACTATTTGTTGAATTCTTTACTTAGTGGATGGTTACTCTTATAATTATAAAATAAACTTGAAATATGTCATTGTATAAATTAAAAGAATAAGAAAAGAAGGAGGAGAAGGATTTAATGGGAAGTACACTATGCTTCTAAATCTGTATATAAAATGCTTCAAATTTGTTCACCTTATATAAATAAAAAAGAAAAATAATGGTATTAAAACAAGCTGTTTAAAGGTAATTTATTTGAAAGGCAGTGTTACAGAAAGACACAGAAGATATATCTTCTATGCACTGATTCACTCCCAAGATGCTGCAACAAACAGGGCTGGGGTGATCCGAAGCCAGGAGCCAGAAGCTTCCTCCAGGTCTCCCACATACGCGTAGGGTAACAGGCAAATGAATCATTCTTTGCTGCTTTCCCAGGTGCATTAGCTGAGATATAGATTGAAATTGGAGCAGCTGGAACTGGACCCAGCTCCCATATGTGATGCCAGCACTGTAAGCCATGGCTGTAACCTGCTGTGCAACAGCACTAACCCCAGTGCATTTATTTTAAACTCTATTTTTCCACAAAATTTTGAAGTGTACTCATCATACTTTCATTAATTTGTTTCCTCCAAAATAATTTAAAAAATCATTTCTGCTCTTCCCATATTACATTTTAAATTGTATATATGTGCATTGTAAATTTTGATTTAATCTCAACAATTATAATAAGGTGTTTTCTTTCAATTTTATTTTGTTCTTTCAAGCATTCCATTTGCTTTATAAAAAGTGTATATATTTATATGGCATATGTCACCCCAAGGTGTTTTGCTATGGTATACATTGTATATTGTTCAAATCATGGTAAATATATCTATATCCTTAAATGGTTACTACTTTTGTGCTGAAAATATTCAAAAATAATTTTATAACTCTTCTATAAGTACACTGTACATTATCCTTATCTATATTCATCCATTCGTGAAAAAAAAAATTGACACCTTTTTCCTCTGCTCTCACTATACTTGGTTCCCATTGAGCAGTCTCTCCCCATTCTTCCATCTCCCCTCCTCTCCTCATCCTCTGGTAACTGTTATTCTACTATCAATTTCTACATGAGCAACTTTTATTCCATGTAGTAATTGTTTTTTCTGTGCCTGGGTTCTCTGAACACAGTTCCTTCTCTTTTGCTTTACTTTAAAAAAATTTGTTTTATTGTATGTACTTAAGGTATAGAACACATTTTATTTATTCTAACCTGCACTTTCAATTACCTATTTATTGGGAAGAAGAGGTAGAGACCACCAGAGAGAGAAAGAGAGAGAGAGAGAGAGAGAGAGAGATGTGATCTCTAGTTCATTGCTTCATACTCCAAATGCCTTCAATGGCTGGGGGTGGACAGGAGCCAATGCTGGAATCCAGTGACAGTCTAAGTTGCCCCATAGGTGGTATGAATTCAATTATTTAAACCACCTTACACTTCCATCAACTAATTCACTATCCAATACCCTAAACACACAACAGCTGGGAAGACCAAACCAAAGCCAACAGCCTTGGACTGAATCTGGGTTTCCTTCTCCTGGAGGAGGTACATGGGCCATCACCTGCTGCTTTCCAGGGTGCACACTGGCACATTGGCAAGAAGCTGGAATCAAAAGCAGACCTAGGACTTGAGCTCAGGTAATACAATATGGTAGGCAGGTATTCCAAACATCTTATGAAGTCTACCCCTATTTTTAATTATTTGAAAATCAATTTCTCTAGTGTTTTCTATAAAAACTGACCAATTAACATTCTCCCCAATAGTGTTCAAGGGTTCCCTTTTCTTCACATCTTTTTTGACTCTATTTATCCTAATTATTTTTTTAATTACAGTCATTCTAATGGTACAATGTAACATTTCATTATGGTTTTCATTTGTATTTTTTGAGGATTAGTAAGGTTGAGCATTTTTCCACTTACCTGTTGGTCATTGGTATGTCACCTGATAACCTCTGTTCAGATACTTTGCCCATTTCTGAGCTAGTTATTTCTTTTCTACTATTAAGCTTTATGAGTTTTTTCTTGCACATTGGATATTTACCACTTATCAGATATATGGTTACCAGATATTTCCTATAGTTCTGTAGATTGACTTTTAATTTTGTTGATTGTTTGCTTTGCAGAATGTTTTAAAATGATGTGGATACACTTGCTTTTCTTTTGTTACCTATGTTTTGATATGACATTCAAAAAATATTGTCGAAGTCAAAATCAAGAAGCTTTACCCCTGTGGGGAGCAACTCGGACTAGACTAAGTTACTGGAATTAAGACTTATTCTATGCATCTGCTCTCCCACAATATGGCGCTGAGAAGGGAGTAAACAACTTCTACACAGCTGCCTCTCGCCAACTTGAGTGATGACCTGCAGGAGCTGATCCTGCTCCTGATTGGAGGAGAGCGGCGTACTTGGCGTGTGGGTAGCAGAGTTGGGATTGGTGGAAGAGGACTATAAAGGAGGAGAGAGACAACATGCACCAGGAACATCTAAGGGGAACATCCGGATAACATCTGAGCAGCCCCCGAGAGAGCTGGCCGGTGGTGTGCTGCTCCCCCGCGGAAGTGGGGAAAGTGGCAGGGGGAGCCGCCCTTCCACGGAGGTGGAAGGATCCGCAGCCAACCCGGGAAGGACCAGCAGCAAACCTGGGGAGGGCCAAGCAGACAAAAGAACAGCGCAGGGTCCAGTATCGTTCCTCCACGAAGAGGGGGAGCGACATACCCCTATGTTTTTCTAGTTGTTTTGCAGCTTTATGTCTTTTGTTTGTCTTTAATCCATTTTGGAATGATTATTGTGTGGTATAATCATATTTAAATTTAATTCTTCTGCATGTGAATATCCAGTTTACCCAACACCACTTATTGAAGACACTCTATTTTCCCTATTATCTTTTCTCAGTGAGTTCCATGGTAGAAAATTAATCAACCGTATGTCTTTGTGTTATGTTCTGGCTTGTATTATGTTTGATTGCTTTTATGGAATTTTTTAAAGATTTATTTATTAACTTGAGAGAGTTACACAGAGAGAGGAGAGGCAGAGAGAGATGGTATACTCCCAAATGGCTGCAGAGGCCAGAGCTACGCCAATCCGAAGCAGGAGCCAGGAGATTCTTCCGGGTCTCCCACACGAGTGCAGGGGCCCAAGGACTTGGGCCATCTTCTCCTGCTTTCCCAGGCCACAGCAGAGATCTGGATTTGAAGTGGAGCATCCAGGTCTTGAACCGACTCCCCTATGGGATACTGGTGCTTCAGGCCAGGGCGTTAACCCTCTGTGCCACAGCGCTGGCCCCTCTTATGGAATTTGACATCAGGAAATTTGTGTATGCAAATTTCTTCTCAAAGGTCATGTTTTTTGTTCTGTTAAGTGTCTTTTGTAGCTATGTACAAACTTAAGAATTTTTAAAATTATTTTTGTGAAACATCCTGTTGAACTTTAGATAGGAATTACACTAATTTGTTTTATTTCACAGATTCCTAATTTTGTCCAATGTGTTTATTTCTGAATTTTTAAAAACTAAAACTATGAAATGTTTATAGTTGTAAATGTTTAATTAATGATATTTAATTTGATATCTTTGCAGGTAAACTGATATATATTGATTTTCTGTTTTACTTTCCTGTTTATTTCAAAATTATGTCACAGTATATATTTTTTACTACCTAGAGATTTTCATATTACGATTATCAGGATCACTTTATTTGCCTTAGAGTCCCAAAATTGTCCTAAAGCATGAGAAAACAGCTGGTAATCATCTAATGAGGGGGGTGAATTATGGAAGAGAACCACAGTGCTACCCCAAAAAGGAAATCTTATAGATAACTGAGGTACAGTGGCGCTTAGCTGACATTTAATTGAAACGGTATTGTGATAGACTCAAGCAAAGTGGTACTGTGAGAAGAACATTAGAATTAGATCTGGACCGGAAACTGGGCCCAGGTCCTCTCACTTTGAAGACTTCAAATTTCAAATTAATTTGGAATCCTGTGACCAGAAAGCAGCAGTTTACCTGACTATAAATCAGATCTGCTTATCATGCCAAAGTAACTGATCTTTCAGACATGGGGGTAGTTTATTCTCACTGATGCAATTTCAAATGACAAAGTTTCAATACTGTAAGTGTTTAGAGGATAAGGTTCTTCAGTAAGAAAGCAAGTAGTCTCAAAGAAACGGTTATGACATTTCACAGCTGCAGCGTGTCCCCTAGAGAAAGGCCTGTCCCTCTCAACTCTGCAACTGTTTTTCCTATGCTTTTTATTCCCTGATGAATGATAGGACATGAATGTGTAGTGCAGCTAAAGTTTTTACTTTCTCAGAAAGCATTTAATGCTCCCACCCAAAATGTTTGTACAATAAGTGAGAAGTATTTTTTAAACATTTATTTATCTGAAAGGCAGAGTTGCAGAAGAGGGAGACATGAAGAGAGTCTTCCATCTGCTTATTCACTTCCAATATGGCCACAAAGGCCAGAGCTGGGCCAGTCCCAAGCCAGAAATCAGGAACTTCTTCCAGTCTCCCATATGGGTACAGGGGCCCAAGCACTGGAGACATCCTCCTCTGCCTCCCCAGGTGATTAGTAGAGAGCTGGATCAGAAATGGAGCACCCATATGGGATGTTGGCGTTTCAGGCCAGGGTGTTAACCTGCTGCACCACTGCACCAGCCCCACTTAATTATTTTAAAACATTATACCATCTACTACCTGAATATGGTGTTAAATACATTTAAGATTGCCCCAAATATATATGTACATTTGATGCATCCCAATATACATGCCTTTTTCAGTTTTGACTGTGCACAAATTAGTTTCAAATTAAGAAAATCTATTTATCAATATGAGAATATCTCCTTTCTGGCTTTTTTTAAAACAGGAACACATCAATGAATATATTGATTTTGGCATCTAGTGATGCCAGATATCAGGTATGTCAACTCTGCTTTGATGTCATGCATGCAACACGTACAGTTTAGGAGGCTAAACATATGTTTTCTATTAGAATTCCAAAGTCAACCTTCTGCCCTGACCTTTTCCCTCTCTTCTGGACATGAATTGTAACTACAGCACTGGGAATATTGCCATGCTTCCTGTGCCTGACCCTTGACTCATCCTTTGCTGTACAGGAATTAGGTTTCCAGACTATATCACCAAAGGTCATATCTGGGCAGCAAAGAACAAATTGGGAACAACTCTTTTCTAATGAAATTGTAATGCCAAACAAGACTGAAAACAGAGGTCACTCTGTGAAAAAGAAATGACTCAAGCAGTAGGAAAAATGAAACTGTTGAACACTTGTAATCTACCTAGGTCTTCAGTGATTAGAGACATGACCGTGTCTTATGGTCAAATTACTTAGTAAGGCATTTATATTGAAAAATGCTTTTCTTTTTTGTACTGCATTTCTTTAAATATGATCTGGTAGCTATATATTTTTCTAAAATAGCCTAATCACACCATGTATACAAAAAGAGGCTACTGTTTCTTAAGTGAAAGCATTCTTTCTTTCCTTTTTTTTTTTTTTTTTTGGCAGGCAGAGTGGACAGTGAGAGAGAGACAAAGAGAAAGGTCTTCCTTTGCTGTTGGTTTACCCTCCAATGGCTGCTGCGGCCGGCACACTGTGGCCGGGCAAACTTTCCATTTATAATGCTTTCTAAATCTTGCCCTAACAAAATTCATTTTTATGAAATATACCCACAAATATTTGGCCACATAACCACACGTATACTCATATGATATTCAATATAGCTAAGTTATATCCATTCTCAAAATTCAAAGGAAAACCTTCTTCATGCAGTTGTTCTTCCAATATTTATATATCTAGCCCTTAAGTCTGAGTTATTTGTTTTATCTTACATGATCTACTACAAAACAATCTACTTCATTGTTTTTACTAAAATTCAATTTAAGTAAAACATGCAAATGGACACCAGGGATTTGAGCAGTATTGTCACAGGATTTTTTGTAATGAACCTGAGCTAAAATCAGGCATCTAATTTTTCAAACTTTTACTTATTTATTTGAGAAGCAGAGTTTCAGGCAGAGAGGAAGAGACAGAGAGATGGAGAGATATCTTCCATCCGATGGTTCATTCTCCAAACAGCAATGATGGACCAGGCTGGTCTGGGCCAAGTCAGGACCCATTTTAAAGACTCCAAAATACACAGTTGGCTAAGCATGTAGACATTGACTGAAATGTGCAAGCACCATACCAGATGATTAATTATAATGGTCCATTGAATCAAGGCCTCCAAAATAAAGCCAACTCAGCCTCTCTGGTAGGATGGACCAAAAGACTGGAACAAGTTACCCTTGTTGAATGAATGCCATAGGCAGGAATGCTAGGTCCCATGAGGTTTTGCTGCATTATTGAACAACTGCTCATTCAACTGCAGGTGCAAAACAATGGCCTGTTGAAACTCTGGTGCCATGTGTGTGCTGGTTTGCATCCCAGCATCTCCACTTCCCACCCAGCTTTCCACTGTATCCTGGGAAAGCAGTAGAGAATGGGACAATTCCTTGGGTCCCTGCACTTGCATTGGGGACCTGGAAAAAGCTACTGGCTCCTGGCTTCAGATCGACTCATCTCCAGCCATTAAGCCATATGGGGAGTGAACCAGTGGATGGAGGATCTCTCTCTCTCTCTCTCTCTCTCTCTCTCTCTCTCTCTCTCCTCTCCCTTTCTCTGTAACTGTTAGTGGTTATCATACAAAAATTAAAAATAAATAAATAAATAAATGCTGGCTGGTGGAAAGGTACAATCATACAACCATTATTAAAGTATGGCAATTCCTTTGAAATATGAAAATAATTCTATCCTATGAATATAGACCTACCATATGACCCAGTCATCCCACTCTTGGGAATTTATCAAAATAAAATGAAAACAACATATCAAAGTGCTATCTGTACAATCATGTTTATTTCAGTTGAATTCACAGCAAGATAAGGAATCAATTTAGATGTCCACCAACTAATGACTGCATAAAGAAACATACACGCATATAAATGCTATAGAATTATACTCAACCATAAAGAAGGAAATCATGCCTTTGCAACAAAATGGATACACCTTGAAACCACTATGTTTAGTGAAATAAGCTATTCTCACAAAGACAAGTATCATACCTTTTATCTGATTTCTGGCAGTTAATATAGAATACAAAAAATGCATAGGAATACAATGGCAACTTTTGATATGATTTTTATTTTTAGCCCTCATTTATACTACTGTGGAACTGTGGTATTCCCACTTTTTACTTGTTGGATATTATGGCTATTGGTGATTATAGATTGGACTATAGATTGGTTTATGATTATGTCTTTCAAAAAAAGTTAAGTAAAATGAATTTAAATACATAGTTTTAGGCAAATAGGATTAGTATTTTATATTTAGAAATCATTACTCATAAAGATAATTATACTGCTGGAACATATATTCTTGATAATAATACTGAGAAATTTGTAAAAAAAAAAAAAGTAGCTATTATTCTTTTTTCATTGAAAAATATTTTTAGAGGCCAGCCCTGTGGTGTAGATGGTAAAGCCACTGCCTGTAGTGCAGATATCCTGTATGGGTGCCGGTTTGAGTCCCGGCTGCTCCACTTCGATGCAGCTCTCTGCTGTGGCCTGGGAAAGCAGTAGAAGATGGCTCAAGTCCTTGGGCTCCTGCACCCACTCGGCAGACCCGGAGGAGGCCTACTGGGGAGTGAACCAGCAGATGGAAGACTTCTCTCTCTCTCTCTCTCTCTCTCTGTCTGTCTCTCCTTCTATCTGTGTGTAACTCTGACTTTCAAATAAATAAATAAAATCTTTAAAAAGAAAAATATTTTAATTATGAAACCTAGATAAGTGTTTTGGGGAGTGTGTCTATGGAGCTGTTTCTAAAGGAGATTAACCTGTGGGTCTGAGTAATAGATGTGAATATCTGGATTTCACTTGGATGGGCATCACCAATTACTTGGGTGTCCAGAGAGACTAAATATAGATAATTTCTTGCACTGAGAGCTGGAATGTGCAGAGTCCCTGCCTTGAACTTCCATTGCTGGATGTTGAACTCTAGGACTCATTCTCATGGTATCCTTACCAATATTTAGTCTTTTGGTGTTAGGAAAATGATAAAATTATAAGTAATAATTAATGAAATAGAAACTAAAATATTTTAATAAGTATAGTTTCGAAAAGTATTGATTAACAATAGGATAAGATGTTCAGGAAAACAACTGAAACTGTAAAAGTTATTTAAACCTTGATTGAAAAGTGTACTTTTACACAAGAACTACATTGGAATGTTCAGGAAACAGAATTTAAATTATTTTATATTGAGAATATAAATTATACTTTGTGAATATTGAAAAGTGTTAGAAATATCA